CAAACTGTAGAAATCCAACGATACAGCGAATTCAGTATATCTTACGCCTCTGTCAGCTCCACAAGATTAGCAAACGATGAAGGTATTTCCCCTCTGAGTCCAGAACTTCCTATGTATCTGTAGTAAATGTAAGAAACGTTTTTAAATAATTTCTTGCACAAGAATTTTGTGGTTGGTAAACACAAAATGATTTTAAAGGTTAAATTTTCATATCTGACGTATAAACAGGAGATGAATACATAAAAACTTGTATATCTGACAGCTACACTCACATTTTCTGTAGTTTTGTACAACTCCCAATCTCAGCTGGTATAGAACCAGAAAAGTTATTTGAACTAATGCTACTGCAGAATAGATAGGTAAAAGGAAGCATCAAAAACCTCAAGAAGCAAATGTGAAGACAGAATCATATCTAAAGAACCAAAAAGCACCAAAAGCTTACAGTGATATTAAATCTTTAAGCAAACCAATTTCCTTAGGAAGAGGGCCAGACAAGGCATTGATCTCAAAAGTCCTGCGTGATAAACAGTTGAGTGTGAGAGACAAGAGAATAAGAGATGATGCTAAAAAGATGTAATATCCAATTGAAGGAGGTTACACCGGCTTACATATATTTCATTCTCGTCAAATTTCCAATTGCAGGAGGCAGGGAGCCTCTGAGAACATTTTGAGCCAAGTTCCTGAAAAGAAGGTGAATTTGAGGTCCATTCTCAAGATTGGTACTCTAGATTAACAAGAGGCAAAATGTGTGTACTCTTTTTGATTAAACAATAAGCAAAAAATGCAACTCAAGTGATAATTAAAAGCATACAGAACTGTGAGGTAGTCCAAAGTCCAGAGCTCTTGAGGTATTGGTCCTACAACTTCACTGTCGAAAACCTTGCTGTGAAAACACCAAAAAATGAGGAGAAAGTTCCCAGTGGGAGAATTCATCAAACACGTGGTGTGCACAAACAAAAGAGGAGACTGTACAGAGTTGTAATGCGGCAGATTGTGGAGTTTTGGAAATTGCAGTCGCATTTGATAAGCGACTTGTAAGCAGGGTTCCGGAGCAAAGATCGCCGGTGGTGTTCCATTCCTTGGGTGCCCGTTGCTTCCAAGCAGCGAAGATTGAGTTCAAAGCTCGTGCTGTTTCATTTTATCCACAACGGTCACATCACCATAATCGTTACTACCTTCTTCTCCGGCGATGATCACAGCAACACCACCATCTCCGTCGACGATCTCAGCCTCGACCAAACCTGAAAATCAGGGGGGGGAAAAAAATTCAAAAATCCAAAACAATTAAACTCTACTCTACGGATCCATAACAAACAAATAAAGAAGAGACAGAAAATCCATAATAAGTAATTGAGATCTCTTGCACATACTGTATATACCATTAGGTGGCTACAACTTCATCTTCTATTAAGCTTGTTCATATATAAATAAAGAAGAGACAGAAACAAGCACCAGAAGAACCACTTGCCTGTCGCTGTGTCCCTAGCAGACTTGCAAGAAGGTCAGTATACTCGCTTACAATCTGTTCCACAAAAACTTGTCTTTCTTTTTTATTTTGTCAACCCACAAAAATTTGTCAAATAATAAAATCATAAAACCACAGAGGCAAATTGATTCATATGCTTTATGCAGGGGAAAAAATGATGCAAGGGTGGTTAAAAATCATACTGAATCAACTTTGCTGTTGAAGATGGCTCCGCTAAATCCCGTATCCTCACTCCATTCACAGAGGCCACAGTCTCCTTCGTGTGAGAAACAACGGGTGTTCTCAAATCAAGAGAATAGCAGTGATGTGTTTCTTTCCAATGCCTGATAGAATGCCCTCCCTTGTATCTACAATTGGAAAACATAATCAACTGTGAGTGAAACTCTCACCTCTGAAGAAGATATAAATGAGGTTATTAATTTCAGGTTATCTAAATCCTGATACAATGGAAACCCAAACGTAAACCAAGCATTACCTTCCACAACCTAAGAAGCCACAGACAAGGCATGCCCCATACATTCTCTGTTTTTCCACAAATAGAACAGCTTAATATCTCATCTTGTTGTTGACACATAAATAAATGAGCATGTGGTAAGACATGTGCCAGGTGTGGAAGCAACAAGCTCATCAAAATAAACTCGGTAAATCCAGCAGGTGTGGAAACAGCAAGCTCATCAAATTCCGTAAGTTCCACCGATAGAATATGGCAAACCTCAGCCTAAAAACCCAAGAAAAGAAGTCAGTCTGTAATGAAGTGAGCCCAAAAAAAGAAGAAGAACCTTTCCATGTTATAATACCTCAGATGGTGCATATTTCTTCCCATTGAGATTCTTGTGGAATCCATCTGCTGCTGATTGATCAGAAAGTGTGATCAAAACACTATATCGATCTTCCATTCCATCATTCCTAACAATCATCAACATAATCATTATGGTACTTAATCACATTCAAATCAAGCAATCAACACCAATGAATTCATGCAAATAAAATCCGAACCTGATGAAGAGGATTTCGGAGACATGGTCGATGCAGGACTCACAGAATCGGATAAAATCGAAAGAGGAAAGCTAATTGGGAACAGCGACGAGTAAGAGAGTGGTGGATCATGAGCTAGGGTTTGGGAGCGAGCCATGTGAAGAGTTGCGATAGAGATGGATAAGTCCTTTGCGTTTTTTGAGTTTATCGGAAGGCTGAGCTTTCTTCGATGAAGCGGAGATGAAACCAAAACCAGATTCTTCTTCTTCGATGGAGATTGGTCGCTCCAAGTAAACCGAGTGGACTCTGAGGATGAACATCGCCGGACCGCCGTCTCAATCGTCTA